CAGAAGTGAAACATTCGCTTATTTATGCTGTAATGCGCTGCGACTACCAGCGATGTAGTATTGATTTAGGAGGGTGATCGATCTTGCATAGTAGCATGACAATATTGATTCATATTCTTCAATCGGTTCCCGGATTTGTTTGTTCATTTTTACTTGCAAACTCTTTACTGGCTCTGTCTTTTTCACTTCAAGACGGCTTCAATTGATCAATTATTTTGACAGCCGAATTTGATCTTCTCTGTTTCATTCATAACATTTTCGCATTTGAAGCTTGGCTTCGTTCTTTACCTTGAATCAATCATTCAGTAAAACAGTGAAAAATTCCCTGTCAGAACGCTGATCAGAATATTGATCCTAATTAGAAATAAAGCAATCCTAATGAGAAATAGTTTAGAGGCACCAGTCACTCTTCATGGTCTGGGGTTTGGGTTTCACTCCTTAGGAGATTGTTAATTCCCTATTAGTTGAATGCATTCAAACACGATGGAAATAGTTGTAATGACTGACAAACAGGACCGGACAGGTGTTTCGTCATGTTTAGAACTCGCCAATAGTTTGCAAGTTTTGTGTCCCTTTCCGGACTCGAACTGAAAACTGATACTGTAAGTTGATACTGTACATTGATCGAGCCATTCGCACAAGGTGATGACTGTCGATCGTGTAGCTCAAGGGTAAGGGTTTGAAGTTCAAAACCCGAAAGTTAGTTGGACACAAAAATTACGCACTGCTGACGAGTCCCAAACAGAACCGAATGGATGTACCATGCTTGGTTATCACAGAGATTTCCGTCGCATTTAAAATAGTTGAACCTATTTAGAACAAGGACCGAGTGATCAAGCACTGATTTTGTTTGTACGAGTGACCATCACTTAGGCTGTTCTTCGAGTGCATCCGAATCGTGTAGTGTAACGTGGCCTCAAATGAACCTGTACGTGGAATAGGCATCCAAAACAAGTCATCATGTAGGGTTGTTTTCTGGACCAATCTTCTTCAACAAACACTTATATCGGGCATATCATTCACTTGGGTTATATTCATCAAGACAATTATGTAGTTCATCGATCGGAACCTCAGTGACAGCCCTATCATGGTGGGTTAAGGCTAGTCACAATGTCTGATTGTTTGCACAGGAGTGTTTATTTGTAACGCCGATGCACTTGCGATAGCAACTTGGAGAGACGCTTGGTCACTCAGATCCCAATACACTTGCCGAGAAATGTAGCGCTCAATAGCTCGAACACTCCCTCCAGCTCTTCTGTCTACCATATATATTGGATTCTGTATCAATCAAAAGCAAACATTCTGAGTGTTACGGTTTGCTGAGGCCGTAACCATTCGGTGTCTGCAAATAATTATGTAGTTTCAGTGCTGGTAACATAAACCATTGTTTGAACTATACATATCTGTTTGTTTTCCGCAAGTGGTTTGCAAAAGGTACAATTCATTTAAGCCTCATCCGGGAACATCATTTAGGTCACTCGTCTTGTCTTGTCATGTTAGGAGTGTAGCCGTTTTTTCCGATCGATAACTATGCTAACCCACCCAGTCCGTTTGTTAAACCCACGTGTAAATGATGACCTTTGAGCTTCACATTTACTCGCGTAAATGGTTTTGATACATTTATCGTGAAGTTGACTTTCTACATCTTTATTTGGTAATCTTTGTATAGATTTGGTTCATGCTCATTCAACAAAATCGAACAACCCCATATATGTCTCCATTTTTTTTTGTTTCAAGTCAGTAAACAGATTAAACAAAATATTAACATTTCGCAAAATTCATGTTCCTTTCGTATTGATCAAATGGATGAAGTGTTCAACTGCCTGATTTCGGGCAATGACACGGGAACTTTTGGATCGCTTTATTTTAATTTTAATTACTCAATTTATGATGGGCTTTGTGACCAGCTAAGAGACCTCAGAGTCGAGAAAGAATTGGCAACCATCCGATGGTGATAGCGGCGATGATAGGGTTCGAGGGGGAGATGTTCAGTACTGCGTCGAGCCAAAAACTTACTGACCATCTACCTTTGACGACTACATTTTGAGAAATGTGCATCGGAAATTTCTCTCAACCTCTGTTTCAGCTGGTAGGCACACCAGTAGCACAAACGACTTCCATGAGATGAGTACAGAGTTCAAAATCCCGGACGAAAGGATAGATATGCAGAACTGATCAGATCAGAACTGAAGCACAGTGTTTTCGGAGTGTTTAGTTTAGTTTAGTTTTTGCAACCGTTAACCATGCACTTTCGTGCGCCGGTTTTGTTTGCTGTCTTTTGTGCCCCATTTGGATAAAAGAGCAGAAAGAAGATTGGTATGTTGAAAGCAAATTCAAGTGAAAGATGGAGAATTCATAGAGAATGGTATTGGGGGAATTGTGAGTGGATGCACGAGCACCACTGTTTGCCACAACCAGCCATATCACTCAGTTCATCATCTCGAGTTTCCCAGCCAGGGAGTCTTACGGGGCTTAGTCTCCTGGTTAGGATTTGCATACCCTCATGCCAGGTCTTCGTTTGACCACCCTTGACTATTTTCCAACCGCTACCTGCCCCGGCAACATCGCTTGCCGTGAAGCGTAGGTTTAACTGGAAGTTAGAATCCGACACTGAAGATGTGGCCACCTTCGTTGGCGATCAAACGTCAGTAAGTCAGCCACGAACCAAGCTTGATGAATGAGTGAGAATAAATTCAGTCAACTCGAGTTAAGAGGATCAATTTTCACTATTTTATCAGAAATACAAATGGTTGCTGCCCATTCAAAACCCGCCTTCTATGAGCTGATTGACGTAAGCTGTGTGTGTTTGTGTGTGGTCTAGTGGTTGAGTTGGTGCAGTAAACCTTTTGATTGAAATGCTCACACTCTCAAGTGTGTATCACTTATCCAATCACTAGTTGTGTCCGAACTAATAAGCGAGTTATATATTAACCAAATACCATGTAAACAACGAGAAAATGCCACTTGTGAAAGTGACATTATCACACGGTCAGTGTATTCATTGCACGAAAGGGCATATCTCACCACCTCCACCATCACCGACAGAGCAACAACCAGATCTCGTTTTTGTATGAGCGTCGCAGTTCAAGTCCATTGTGGTGGATAAGGAGAAAGAAACCTTCCTCACTGTCGAGACTGTGCATCTCTCTCCCTCACTTGTCTCGCTTGCTGCATATAGATAACAGATTCTGACCTAACGCTGCACATGCATCGAGCAAGCACAGAAACGGTTTGTCCCCTTCTGATATTACTTGAGCTTACAGTTTTTCACTTTTATTATCACCTATTGATTGACCAATCCGAACCCTCCTACCATCTCATACCATCCAGTTCACAAAAAAACCGACGATCGCCTGTCTCCCATAGAATAACTCTACATCACGGCCAATAGCTTCCACCATGATCATTTGCATTGCGAGTTGTGATGTGTTCTTTTAGAATTCCTCCACCCCAGTCTGTCCACCTAACGTACCGTGCTTCTTTACCGCCCGCCTACCCGCAGAGCCCATACGACGGATCTTGGCCTGGTCCGGATTTCGTACCGCTGCACGATTGACCTACTGTGCCTATCTGACACATCCGATCGTGCTCATGTATCTTCAACTGAGTGCAGAGGCCCCAGTTGTGGTCAACAACATTCTCCTGGTCAGTTTCTGATTTCAGTTTCTAGCCGATCTGTTTCGTTTTTGTGCTCAGGCATTTGGTCCCATTGTTCTGATTTAGCGTTTGTACTGTGATAAGTTAATGGCCCGAAAACACTGCTATGCGAGAACTACGTTGAGTAACCAAACTAGACTGAATGCGGGTTGCTTTGATCACTTTTGACCAAACTAAAGAATTGATCCATCTTTTGAGACATTTGACCAATCCCTCGGGTCGAGAGTAATCCCGTTCATATGTGTCGACATTTATAGAGTGTTGATAGGGCATACAAAAAAATAATTAATTAATTAACTTGAAAATTTGGATTATGCCCACTATTTCCGGTATGACATCTAGTCCGGATTTGACAAGGAGTGAGATGGACTAGCGAAAACTGATTGAATGGAGGACCACGGGAGAGAGCAGGACTTCAAAGTTTACTTTTACTCATAAAAGAATGAATGGTGAATACGTATCCGCATTGTTTCCTTGTGGTCAAAATCCGCTTAGAATGTTGTTCACAAAACTGTCCGGTTTCAGTGTTTGGTTTGTTTAGAATAAGGAGCTGAATATCCATGTTAGGAAAGATGGTTATGAGTTGCATGATGCAATAAAATTAGGAGCTGGCTTAGCTGGCTCACCAGTAGTCAACACTGTCTTTGAAAATCGAACGTGTATCCAACATACTTTGCGGTGGTGTAAATGTGTATTTTCAATCTATGTTACTGGTGAGTAGTGATTTCAGTTAAGCATCATTTAGGCTTTGGATTGATCATCGTTCTGTCTCCTCTGTGCAATCGTCGCCATGGGCTCTACCTACGAGTAATTATAAGCCCAAATGTCAATACTAAATTGTGTCTAACAGCTTTAATCAAATGAGGCTTATATGAGATTGCAGCACATCAGACAGGACCAGACAAAATCCAAACAGTCAGACATTGACTGAAATACAGCTCCCGTGGTCGTGGTAGGCTCGGATGCACTCTGGTAACATTCACGCGCTCCATGCGGTGTTAGAACACTGACAGGGCTGTTAAATACACATTATTGACAAGATCAAACCTTGAGCACTGTGCTTCAAAGGCACATAGGATGAAAAAATGAACAAGGGATTGTGTAAAAAAAAAGAAATCCAAAAGTGCTGCATGTTTTACTTCATGTGTAGAAAACGTTTACCTTCATCGTTGGATTTGGAATGTCTTAAATTATTGATCACTATAGGTAACAACTGTATTGATGAATGTGCATAGTTACGTCGACGCGTAAAAATTGGTTATTTAGTTTGTTCTGCTCTAATACCGATATTTGCTTGTGTCTGCTCTCTCTCTCTCCGCCCCCCCTTACACTATCCAATCTAACCTGTCACCGCGACCATGACTAAAGATAACGCAATTTATCTCCTCGTACTTCCTGACCTACTTCATCAGTCTGATTCTGTTCCTGTTAACCGAATCGCCTACAATGACTGTGGAACGCTATCTACGCCGAGCCCGGTAAAGTCGCCGCGTGGTCTAGCTATCTGTTTGTTCAGTAGCTCTCCTCCGCCCCCCGGCCTCACCTCAGGTGCATTTTGTGCGCCACATTCATGATCAAGTAGGACGTATAATAAAATAAAATTGACTAACCTCGTTCTTCTTTCGTTGATTAACATGCAAATATACTCATTTCGAAGTGAAAAGATTTTTTTTCTGATTTCGGTGCTTCATATCATGAGAATTTTCGTGATCCAGAATGATAATTTTCCTCCGTGACCGGGATACCGCTTTTACTCAGCTGCATTCCGATGTTTTAGAAAAGGTGATTTCAATTGACACGAAAAACAGGCATTCCGAGCAGAATATTTAAACGTAGAATAAATCAAAGAATGATGAAACCAACATCAATTAATAAACAACAAATATTGTAAGATGTGAAAATTTTCTTCACCAAAACAACATGAAATAATATCTTATGTGGTGGGTTTATAAATACCGTTGTGGAAGTAGGTAATACGATAATTTGATCGATTGTATTAGACCCGGGTTGACGCGATTCAACTAGATCCAATTTGATAATTTGTGTTTACCTCAGGCTCGTGTCACCTGATGACGATTAGAGTGATAGGAATACATCATTGATATCTTCAGTTTTCTTTCATGAACCGTTTAGCTCCTGATGACTGCGATTTCATTTTGCGAAGCTGATTTTCAAATAATGTTATAGCACTTGTCGTTACAAACATTGAGGACTGAGTCGGACTGACTATTGTGCCAACGGCCTGAGTTAGTTTGATAGCAACTGCAGCAACTGTTCTCGCGTTTCCTGGATTGAGATATCTAGCTTTACAGCATCGAATAGAGAGTGTTTCACTCTTCGTTCAATAAATGACCGCGTTGAAGAATGATTCTTATCTTTATCATTTCGCAGATTTGATCGACCGTGGATTTTCTGTCGTGCACATCGATACATTGCTCTATAGAGAACCACGGTCCGGTAGCATCCTTTTTACCAGGTTTCTTTTTTCGGAAATATTGTGGAACGATTGTAGCTCGGGCTGTGGATGTTGATGGTGGTGATTGTGTGTTGTTCGAGCACTGGGAGTGTTGTTCACAGATGTTTCGAAGTCTGGACTTGTGTCGAGATGTGTATTTCGGTTTGTTCTCACTTCACTGTGATTGTTCTGTCATCTATTCAATACTTGCAATTTAGCAGAGAATTGCACTGGAAATCATCTACTGTGTTTTTACCATTCCCAGAATGTAGCAATTAGTTTATTCAAGCTAAATCAAAAAAGTAATAGCTTTATACACCCACAAGGGGTGGCTATTGGAGCAAATTAACCAGGGTTTTTATTGGTTACCATTAGCTGTCATAAGCTGATCCAACCATTTCGCTGCGGTGAAATTCCAGGCAATTTCCGATCATTTTACTCTAAGTATCATGTCGGGATGGAGTAGAGTTTCTTCTCTGATGACCTCGATCACCATAGACAGAATAATAACAGAACCATTTCGGTCTATGCCAGCGAGCTAGTATTCCAGTCACGGTGAACATTCGTCTTCACAGACCTCTTTGTATGTGTGTGTGTGTGTGTGTGTGTGATGATCCTAACCAATGGCATAACGCCAGCCACAGAGTCACGTGTTACAGTTTCTGGACAACTGTGATTAGTCAACCTTCCTCGATGACGCCAGCCAACCGCATACGCGTTCCAATGTCTGAACAACGAAGCACAGACCGACCAATCAAAATTCGTGCGGTCCAGACAAAAGCTGTATGACGTCAAGAATACAAGCACGCGATTGGTGGATACCTGGATAGTCAATGAACGTCTTTTGAGCGTGTTATTAAATACCCTTGATTTAATTCAATCAATGAACTGCTACTTCTGTGGCCTTTTCCTTACGTCTCAGTTAATTGAAATACCAGCCAGCAAGTGCCATTGCAATTCAACGCTTCTGTGGCTTCCGTGATTCGTAATTCGGGATCTGTGTCTACTTTATCTAACACAATGTGCGAAAGTGTATTGTGCAAGCACTTGAGCTGTTTGTTATGGTCAAACTGTAGACACGTAGTAATTCATGTGGAAGCACTCGAGAGTATGGTAACCAAGGCTTGACGAAGTCCAAAGTATGAGNCCCCCCCCCCCCCCCCGCGGTTATAAGTAGTCATATGCACTGCGCCAAATGTGCATGATTATGAAACAGAAGATAACGACTGTGTTTGTTGTTCGCTAGTGCGTTGGTTGACGGTCCACCTCATGCATCCAATGAGACAAGCGGAACGTGGATGGGACAGCACCTTATTGGCTGGAG